GCAAATTAGTTTCTCATTAAACAATTAATACATATTGTTTTGTGACATTGGTTGCCAACCCCACAATGTGTCAGCACTCTCCCTTTCTCGACCTTCTCCCCATTTCCATTCATCCAGCTTTCCTGTCCCCTACTGCCTCTCGTCCTTGCCCCTGGGCTGATGTGCCCATTTAGTGTAGTACACATGGTTGAACTACATGTGTTGTTTGTTTTATAGGCCTGTCTAATCTTTGGCTGAAGGGTGAACCTCAGGAGTAGCTTCAGTACTGAGTTAAAAGGGTGTCTGGGAGCAACTCATAGTATTGTGTTATATGGGTTTAATGATCAACTTTAGAGATATGGTTTTTCCCCAATATTTCATGATTATAATATGGCAGTGAATTTTTATGTACTGTTATGCATGTTTTGACTTAGTCAAGATTCCTGTCAGTAAAATTAATAAGTCAAAGGTTATGATTGTTTTAAGGCAATTTATATGTATTGCTAACTTGTAACAACCTGTTTCTCCAGTACTGAATGAGTATTCATCTTACTACATCCTTATACTATCATTGAGTATTACTAGCCCCCCTCTTTAATTTGCAAGTAAAAAAGTGGTTTCTTATTGTTTTAAGTTACTTTTCTTTCATTGTAAATGATAGTTTTTCTATTTACCCTTTTTTCTTTTTTTGTAGTTGTTTATTAGATCCTTTGTGTTTCATCTGTTAATTTACGTAGAATAAAGATAGTTTAAATACCTTACTCTCGTATACCTTCACAGTAGGACCCTGAGCAGGATACAACAAACTGGTCACTTCAGAGGCTGATTTCTCATGGTGTTAAGTGAGATGAGACGAGGAGCAGACAAAAAAAGTACCTGTCCTTTGTGCTCTTTCTTGTGGATGGACAGGTGGTACCATTTTGCAGTTTTGCAAAAAAATAAAAATAAAAAGAGAGCTATACCATGGATTGGAAACTCAGTATGTTGAGGATGGTAACTTTCCCACTTTGATCTACAGAGTCAATGTAATACCATCAAAATCCAAGCTGATTTTTTTTTCCTAGTGGGCCTTGATACACTAACTCTAAATTATATATTTAAATTTTTGTTGTAATGCACTCTAGAATAACTTGCCCTTCCAGATAGCACGACCAAAAGACCAGAACAGAAATAGACCTGTGCTTATATGAACCGTAATAAATGAGAGTGGAAATCTTACAGAACAGTGGGGAGAGTTTTAGGAAATGTGCTTGGACAACTGGTTATCCATATGGGAAGAAATGAATTGGAAATTGGACTCTGCCTCACACCACACACAGAAGTCAATTCAAAGTGGTTTAAAGACCTAGATGTGAAAGTCAAAGCTTTTAGAAGAAAATATAGGAGAATATCTTGGGTAGGGAAAGCGTTTTCTGAAGGAAATGACTGATAAATTCAAGCATGTTAAGATTAAGAATTTGTCATCAAAAGACAACAGAGAGTGAACAAACACACACAAGTTGGGAAAGGATATTAGTAACATAGAACTGATTCATATTCAGAGTGTGTGTGTGTGTGTGTGTGTGTGTGTGTGTGTGTAGATACCCTGCAGCTCAGTCAGAAAGACCATATTAAAGTTTACAGAAACATTTGAACAAACACTTGAAAACCATATGGTTAGTAAATAGATGAAAAGTTGCTTAACTTCATTACTAATCAGGGAAATAAAAATTACATACCAAATTAGCAAAGATTTTAAAATCTAATAGTAGGTGAGAATGTGGAGCAGTGGCAACTCTCATACACTGCTGGAAACATTTTGGAAAATATTCAGCATTACCCAGGAAAGCTGAGCGTAATATACCTGATAACCTGTGATGCCACTTTCTGGAGTATACATTAGAGAAACTGGCATGACACACCAGGAGACATGTACAAGGATATTTGTGGTAATACTGCTTGTGATGGCATAGACTGGAAGTAACCCAAAAGTCCAGTTGTGGTGGAATGGATAAATTAGTTATATATTAGACATTGTAATATCCTAAGCAATGATTTAAAGTGAAAGAAGTACAGTCACATGCATCTACAGGGATATATCCTAAAATTTTTTTGCATAAAAGAAGCAAGTCATTGTTCAGAAACACAAAACTAAACAATACGTTGTTTAGAAATACATCCAAAACTGGAAAAAAAATTTTTTTTTTAAAGCTGGGAATGTGGCTAACACAAAAGTCAGGATGGTTGAAGGGAGGCCAAGAATAAGCTGCAATCAGTAGGGCAATACCCAGACTGATAAATTAGTTTACTGTTTCTTAAACCTGGGGAGTAGATGCATGGGTGCTTGTTTTATTATGCTTTAAGCTATACATGTATTTTATTTACTCTTCCGTTTGTACGATATATTTAATAATAAGGCAAAGGAATTTTTTTAAATCTTAAATATAAAGTAAGGTATTTGACAAGAGAGGCAAGGTAGGAGGTCTTGCTTCTTTTGTCAGATACTCTTCTCACTTTAAAGGCAAACACAGGCCTTTGGAGTTGCCCTTGGTTTAACAAATAGAAATTTGATTATAACAGGCAATAATAAACAGTTTTCTTTTTGGAGATAATTTAGAAGGTTCAGACTCTACAGATTTAATTTCTCTTTCAGAAAAATTTTTGCAAGTATATAGGAAGTAGGTGGTTAATATTGGAGGAATTGGTCTCTCTCTCTCTTTTTTAAAATCCTTTAATGCCTGCTTTCCTTACCAGTTGAGCATGTGTCCTAATGGCATCATATGTGAAGCCAGACATTCCGGATAGTTGTTTGGCCAGATCCACTTTCAGAGCTGGTGCCTTCATTGGCTTTTAAACTGGTCATTGGTCTTACTGGATTTTCATACTTAGTCACCTGTTTGCACGCTTCGCCTTGCTATTGACCAGTTACAGGAAGCAAGGCACAGAGTGGTAGATAGATTTTCAGAACTTGCCTGGGTGGAGTTCTTGTAGCAGAGATCAGTAACCTCTTCTCTTCTTCATGTACTTTAGCTCAGGTTCAGATTGAAGGAGATTTCCTGGCTTGTTCCTTCTCTATACTTGAAGAACAGCCCATGGACATGCTTCTAGGACTGGATATGCTTAAACGGCATCAGGTAATTAGGGCCTTCACTTTCTTTTTGCATCTGTATTTTATATGTTATATGCATATTGTAACATCATTTCTGTTGGTTGTGTGTACTGGAGAACTAAGAAGCATGACTTCAAACCTGGAGAAATTTTTCATTGATAATGTCATTCAAGGATTGGAGTTATGTGTGTCGGTAGAAATAGAACTTGTTTTTGTGAAGTCTTTCTGTGAATTTATTATTAAATCTTGCCATCTATTTTGTGATCATAATGGGCAATTTGATTCCCTTATGTAATGTTTAGATTCTCATTAGATCTCAAGTGGTTTTTTGATGGATTTGTAGGCACAATGCTGATTTTACTGCAAGTGTGAATTTAGTGAATCCTCAGTAATCCTTAGATGCTGGCCAAACAGTATTTGGGAGGAAGACCTTCAAGATTAAGGAAAATGTACATATGATATTGGGAGTGAAAGTTTTTATTTACTACAGGGAGAATAATTTATAAACATATTAATTTGCAAGGATTTTTATATTTCTACTCTGAAGGCTAACAATTTGTTTTAGGATATACCCACCTCATTGAAGAAGCAATTAGTGTCCACTGGGTAATAAAATTTTTTACTGCAGGGTTTCATATCTAGTCAATATTTTTATGTCACTAATATATTTAAAAATCTTTTTAAACTTTTAATTCCTGTGTAAGGACACGTATTGGTATTCTAAGCAAAGTACAACATTTTAAATAGAAGGGATGTGTAAATGTATGTATAAAAAAAAAAAAAACTAGTTTATTAACTTGTCACTGTTTCCCCTGTAGCATCATTTAGTTGTGATATAGACCAGCAGTCTCCAACTTATAGATATAAACCATATATGTGTGCAACTGCCCTATATTAAGTAATTGTAAAAATACACAGAAATTGAGGGATAGCATAAATATGAAATAAAGAATCTTTTTTTAAAGATTATCTTGCACATCTGCCACTTTTGAGACTACTGGTATAGAAGTTTTTTTGTTGTTCTTTTTTGTTGTTGTTGTTTTTAAGAACATACATAGCAAAAACGTATACCAGTTCAAGTTTTCTACGTGTACATTTCAGTGACGTTGATTACATTCTTCTAGTTGTGCAGCCCTTCTCACCGTCTTTTTCTGAGTTGTTCCTCCTTTAACATAAACTCACTGCCCCCTGAAGTTCCTATCTGATCTTTCAAGTTGCTGTTGTCAGTTTGATCCCATAAAGATAGATCTTAAAAGAGCATATGACATAGAGTTTTAATATAAGCTGTAGTTTATGATGTTGAGTTTTAATATAAGCTGTAGTTTATAGAAGTGAAATGTAAAACTATGAATAGTATGGTCTCAGTTTTAAAAGAAAAAGTCATTTATATGTTTCTGAAAGGTGAAGCTGCTGATTATACTTGTTATTTTTCCAGATTTCATACAGTGAACCTGCATCACATATATAATCAAATAAACAATGTTGTATTAAAGACAGATAAATGTAAACTAATTCTGTAAAGGATATTCTGCTATAAACTTTGAATATTAAAAAAAATTCTGAATTAGATAAAGAAGTATTGTGAATCATCTCTGTCCGTCGATTTGCTCTTTGTGGATAGAGTTTTAAATTCAGGATCCTAATTTTTCTGCATGGCATTTTATTTGCTATCCTTATCCTTCGGTTTCTTCCTTCTAAGTGTTCCATTGACCTCAAGAAAAATGTACTCGTGATCGGCACCACAGGCTCCCAGACCACCTTCCTTCCTGAGGGAGAACTACCAGACTGTGCCAGGTTGGCATATGGGGCCGGGCGAGAGGACCTGCGGCCAGAGGACATTGCAGACCAAGAATTAGCAGAAGCCCTTCAAAAATCTGTAGAGGATGCAGGTATTTGGAAAGGCTGAGCTTTTGAATACTACCCATGTCATTGGTGGGTGAGCCTGGGAAGGGCGAGCTTCAGCAGAGGGTAGGGACTTTCCCAGTTCATCATCAGTCTCATTGTCCAGTAGTAGATGTGTTCATTGTTTGTCCTCTTACCTTCTCCTCCCATCTCTCAACATGAAAAGAAAAAACTCCACATTTCAACAGATTAAGAAACAGCAGTCCGTTGCCGTGGACGAGATGGATTGGGTATTTATTTGCTTAGGTACATTTTTGTAGGCTTCCTAAAAATCATGTCTTTTTTCCCCTAAAGAAAGTCCTAACAGTAAGCAGATAGATTCTTTTTGAGTTCAGCAGTATTTCCCTGAAATTTTCTCAGGCCTGTTTATTTGGAAGGATAGCATTGTCCCTGTGATTGAACAGCCCTCACCTTTTAAATATTTACTGCAAGGGCTGCCACCAGAGACAGAAGAATCAACAATAAGAAGCAGAATTAAACGTTAATCAGAATGTAGTGTTTATGCTGTTAATGAGCTCACAGTAGTATGTCACTGGACCTTATTAGAACAGTATAAATTGTGAAAACCAAGCTTACCTAATACATTTTTCTAAGTCTTGATTGTTGTAGTCTGTTTAAATCTAAAGACTAAGCCAACTTTTCTGAATAAAATGGATAACACAGTTTTGCTGAAATCACACTTCCATGAATAATTCCTCCCTCCCCCTCCCTCCCCATCTGTTACAGATCAGTGACTCTGGGGTAGATTTTCTAGAAGCTGAAAAGAATTAACTTTTAAGTTTGGGTTATTCTAAAGTCTTGAGCTGAAATTATTCATCAGTATGACTAATATCACACATTGCTTTTTCTGGTACTGTAAGATATATTTTGTCTTTCTCCTAAAGACAAAAGAGATACAAGCCTTAAAAATAAGCAGCCAGGTTTTGCCTGTGTTTGTTGCTGTAGAACCTCCAGAGGTCTATCCTTGAGCCTCTGTAGAATGGGTATGGGTAGCAGATGGAGTTTTCTAAGCTGGTCTTGTTCAGAATTGATTCCACTACCTTTTGGCTCAGTTTCACATACAAAGTACAGTTTTGGATGTGACTTAAGTGTTTTGTAGGAAGAGGGGGGAATTCTGAAAAACCAGACAGGGAGAGACTAACTTAATAGCTTACCCACAAGGTCAGCTTGAGTGAGTTTGAATTGTTACTTAAGATTTTTGCCTTTTTTTTTTTTTTTTTAATTTGTCATCTTAGTCATAATACTGTGTGTTAATAAAATGAGGATACATTACCATTTTGTGAAATTCCAGTTTTTTCCCCACAATCTTGATATTTTTATTTAAGAAACCCTAGATGATAGTAATGTTTTCTAATCTACTAACAGTTACCCACTTTGGGTAATTACCTTCCTTTAATAAAAACGTTTAGGAGATTAAAATACTGGCTCAGTGAGGGGAGTATGCCAGTTTTAAAAGGATTAAAAGGAGGTGGCTTTTTACCCATGTGACCTTTTGTTAGTGATATGTATGGGTTGTGCTAATTTTTGTAATATTTAAATAGTGAAATAATTTACAATATCACATCCTATTTGTTTGGAACATTGACTTCTCAGTATCATCAAAACTCTGAATGCAGTAGGTAGAACTGTTTTGCTAAAAGCTCTTTCTCAGGTAAATACTTACACCAAAGTATCTTCGTCTTTTCTAGAAATGGAAAAATAATTCAAAAAAGGAGCTGTATCTGATATATTTTATAAAAACTGATAAAAAGATAAAGAAGATAAGCCAGGATAGAATTCATTCAGGTTTGGTTTGTTTTCTTCTAAAAATAAATCTGAACTGAAGAAGAAGAAATTTGGAGAGTGACTGCTACATGTGTTCACTCACCTTTATGCCACAAAGATTCTTGTATCACGTAGTTCTGATAGGCCTACCAGTGTCGCTTTTTCACATGTCTCACATGTTTGCCCATGAATTCTCTATATGTAGGTGTGTAAAATTAATTTCTTTCTAAGTTCTGTTGAAAATCTGTTGAAGTTGCCACATTGTTTTATGTCATGTGAGAAAATTGAAGCAACCAACAAACCTTCAGAAACATTCCCCCACTTTGATTCTACCAGTTCCTGATTTTAAAGATGGCAAAGGAATGGAGATTATAACCCTGCATGCTGTGTGGTTAGCATTATTAACCCAAGTTTGCTTGTCTGTTTCCTAATTCAAACAGAGCGTCAGAAGCCATGATGCATGTAGTGTGTGTGTACTGCAGCTGGAGTGGGCCCCAGACCAGGTATTTATAGACACCGTGTTAAGCCTTCCATCCAGTCGTCATCTGTGGTCTGAAAGTCTCTGTACATGCAGCACTTTGGGGATTTAGTTACCATCATTCACCATTTACCTTGTTTAATCTGGTTACAACTAGCCTGTATATACATTTGTATGTTGGCATACATACATATATATGTAAGTATGATTTCCTGTTTAAAATATTACCAATGATCAGAACAGTTCAAGGGAAAAAATCCCAGCAAAAACAGTGTCCATTATTCCTACCACATCTGACCATGGTGACTGTCAAATCAAGATTATCTGTATCACAGCACTTTGTTGTTAGTGATAACTGTGCTCTTATGGATTTTGTGAGTCTTTTTTTTCCTGAGAAACTGAAGGTTCTCTCCCACCCCCCCACATTACTGCACACGACTTTCTGGAGTTCTAGAGAGGTAGAAATTCTCATTCTGTTGAAGGAGAAATGGAAACAGGCCAGGTGACTTGTCCAGGGTCACAGAGTCAATAGCACAGGCAGGACTTAGGTTTTATTCTTCCAGCAACAAGACCTAAGACTTTGCTTTTTCCTCTCTCTGGCCTGACAGATTTTCCTCAGAAGTCACTCTGCTTCCGTTCCTCTGTGGTATAAATATGGTAACTGTCAGCCTGAGTTTATTGGCTGGTTTATCAAGAGAGGAGGAGAGAGATTCTTTTAAACTACCAATTTGGAACTGTATAGGGGCTTGCAGGCTGGTTGTAATTAGATACATGGCATTTATTTATTTATTTTTTTAATCTTTTTTTTTTTTTTGGAAGGATGGGTTAAAAGCAAGCATAGTTTAATTATTCTTAATATCCATTGTCCTCATCCTCTTCTCCTATCATCCTGTAGTACTGACCCAGTCCTCCCCCCTACATTTAGGACTTAGGCCAGTGAAACTGACCATCTCAGCTACAGGAGGACTATATGCTGCTTTCATAGTGAGTACAAAATCCATTGAGGCTGTGTTCACCTTGACCTCACCTGGTTGTTTATAACTGGTATACTAGTGCCAGAAGGCCATTATCATGCCCCTTCATGTTGCTAACGTAGATATTTTAGTACAATGCATTTTTTTCTTTTAGCTCAAAATTGAACCTCTTTCAGAGTCAGCCTTAGGGACCAGTAAATAAAACTAATACCCGTGTTTCTAGACTCTAATAGAGTTTAAAATGAGATAAATGCTGTTTTCCTGCTTATACTAAACTATAAGGTGAGATTATTTCACGAGATGTCAGTAACTTCCTGACATAGTGCTCTGTCTTCTGTTCTGATTAAAACAATTTAGAGCCATCAGAATCATAACTTGCATTGCTTCATGACTACTTAGGTCAAGATCAAGCCCCCACGTGGGATGTTAACATTCAGCATGAAGCATTTGAGTTGCATCTGCCCTAATAGATTGTATTTTAAAGTCATTTTTGCTACCAGACTTTTGACTTTGAATTAAAGATCTTATAATAGTACATAGAGGACATTTTTTTTAACTGGATCATTGGGAAGTGGAGAGATGAAACTGATGTTTAATGACATCATTATGATGTTTTCACTTGACTTGTATGTAAGCTGGCCATCTTGTGTGAGTGGTTAGTAAGTTGCAGTGAATCTAAATAGTCATTGCCTATTGAAAAACTATTGTGAACCATCTCCTGTACTATATTAATGTGATAAAATGATAATCCTTTTAACAGTTATGTTATTTGGTAGAATGATTGGGATTTAATCTGTCCGATCGTTAGCTTTACTTTTGTTCTCTGAGTCAGACACTTATGCAATTTTACCATGATTCTTGGGAAGCCTGGTTGTAAATAAAGTAGATAGAATGTTTGCATCTCTGTCTTCTGGATGTCTCTGAGCATTACATTCTTATATCTCTTTATAATTCCTGCTCTGTCTCAGGTATACCTGACTGTAGATTTCTCATTTATAACCTCATTGTTCACATCTGAAATCGGAAAAAAGTGCATTGTCATGAGAATCATTTCTAGTACAGAGATTCTCAAGATTTGTAATGTGCCTAAGAATCACCTGAGGAGCTTATATAAAAACGCAGATTCCTAAGTTTGTCCCCAAGGATGGTGCCCCAGAATCTGCATGCTTAACAAGCATCCCAGGTGTTTTCAGGACAAGTGGTGGAGAGAACACACTTGGAGAAACATTATTCCAGAGATCTGAGCACGCTGGGAATAAAGATACATAAATGTCCTCAGTCCTGAGCACTAACCCAGCCATGATGTGGATGCTTATTAATGGTACTTAAACAATCATATTGATTCTAATATACATGTTTTATTAGGAGCATGCCTGCCTCTTATTCTGATGCTCTGATGTTAAATTGTCTACCGTAATAAGAATGGGTTTTTGTATTTTAGGTATAAGACAAATTTGAGTTTAAGGACCTGATTTTATTCTATCCTGTCTAGATTATATTCTCTGTTAATTTAGTGGCCTTTGTTACTTGCTAATTAATTAGTCTTTTTCCTTTTCCTTTTGTTCCGTATAGAGAAAAGTGGTAAAGAAACTACCTCACTGGGAATGTCATTGTTACCAACTTCAGATGGATTTAACCATCTAGCCCATCCTTCAGGACAGAGTCCTGAGATTGGTAATCATACGAGTCTTACTCACTCTGTCTCTGCTTCAGTCTGCCCTGCAAAGCCCAGTGACCCAGATAGCCTTGAACCTGAAGCTGTCAAGGCTTTGAAGGCTTCAGCTGAGTTCCAGATAACCTCTGAAAAGACAGAGCATCTTCTTCCTCTACGGGATCTTTCTGTTGATGCTTCTTCAGCAGACAGTGCTCCAGCAGACCATAGTCCAGCTATGCCTTTGAAGAAGTCATCAAAAGAGGCAGTTGTTGCAGATAATCTAAAGAAATTTCCTGCTGAAAAAAGCACCCAGGGCCTCAAAATTCATCTCTATACAAGACAGGAAACTAGCTTATCTGCCACAACTACTAGGATGCATGAACCACAAATGTTTCTCAGTGAAGAGGGTTGGCATCCAGAATATCAGAATCTGAGTCAAGTAAATGGCCTTCAGCACCAAGAAGAACCAGGGAATGAACAGCAGGAGGTAGTACAACAGAATGCTCCACATGACCAAGAACATCTTTGTAACACAGGGGACCTTGAACTTCCTGGGGAAAGGCAACAGAACCAACAAAAATGTATTGATTTAGAAGATGAGATGAAAGGGGACAGGCTACAGCAGAATGTAGACCTTCTAGGTATAGAGAAAAATACTCTACCTTCAGGATGCTTTGGCTGCTCAAATTCAGAAACACTTATGGAAGTAGATATTGTTGAACAGTCCCTGGTTGCTGTGTTTAATTCAGCAGGCAATCAACATGCCAATGTCAAGAACATTGGTGCATCTGATCTCACGCTAGATAATCCCTTAATGGAAGTAGAAACATCAAAATGTAACCCTTCATCTGAAAATTTATCTAATTTCATTTCCACTCAGGATTTACAGCTCCAAGAAAGTAATGTTGAAACGTCCAGAACAAATAGAGAATATGGTAATTGCTCCCCCTCTTTAAGTCTTTGTGGCAGTTGTCAGCCCTCTGTGGAGTCAACAGAGGAATCGTATTCATCTATAACGACAGCTTTGAAGGAACTTCATGAGCTTTTAGTCATTAGTAGTAACCCAGCTTCAGAACATACATCTGAAGAAGCTGTCTGCCAATCAGAAACGGGAGCTGAGGGCCAAACAAGTATTAAAGACCTTTCTGAATTACAGACCCAAAATGAGCCTCTTACAGCTACCCAGGAGGAACAGCATTCACAAGTCTCCTTCCATCAGGCTGTACCTTTATCGGTCAAGGCAGAAAAATTAACAGGCATTTCACCTGGTACTGGAACAGAGGATGTAGAAAATGTTAACTTCAGGGTTCCAAGTGATGGCATGCATACTGATAAAGAACGTGTCCCCAAGTCTAGGGAATCAGTAAACGAGAGCAGTTCTGTCCCTCTATCCTCAGCTGAAATGTCTGATCAACTGCACTGCACCCTAGATGCAGAAATTTCACCCAAACTTCTAGCAGGTGAGGAGGATGCACTCAATCAGACTTCTGAGCAAACTAAGGCCTTGCCATTCAGTTTCAGATTGGTTAAAGACTTGTGTCAGTGCACACAGAATCCAGTGACAGACAGGCCTGAAACCAGAGAAGATGTCTGTCCTGAAGCTGCCAGCCCATTCCTTGAGTTTGAACCACCTACCAGCCAGCCATCCAGTCCCTCCATTCTTCCACCATTGATTTTTCCTGCTGCAGACATTGACCGGATCCTCCATGCTGGCTTTACTTTGCAGGAAGCTCTTGGGGCTTTGCATCGAGTTGGTGGAAATGCAGACCTTGCTCTTCTTGTTTTGCTAGCAAAGAACATTGTAGTTCCTACATAACCATGGAAAGTGGGCTAGACTGTATTCCATTCCCTTAAAGAAAGCTATATATACACACACACACTCACACATATACAGTATAGGTAGAAACCTGCAAGCAGAATGTTGAGCCAGATTTTTTTTTTTTTTTTAAAGGTTTTTTTCGGCCAAAGTAATTTATGATCTCTTGTCTGATGGATTTGTCTATTCTACTTGTTAAAATTTGGGCCTTTTTAAATGTATTGGCAGTATGTGCATACAAAAGCATTTTATTCTCATTAAGATGATGTATTCTGGAATAAAATTGATGGCTTTATGTATAGCATACCATTTTAGAATGAGAGTGAATGCTTTGAAAAGCAGAAGCCATGAGAAATCCCACCACCCGTGCAGCTAAAAGCAGATCAACTTAACACTGTGACTGTGTGTCTGAGCTGTAGGCAAGGTATGGCTTGTTGACTAAGTTGTCAAGTTACAAGCTTTTGACCACATAGTTTGGTGTTTGGAATTAATACCCAATGCTCTGTATATTTGATTCATCACTTATAACAGGAAATTGAAGAATAATTGACTAATATCTCCTAGAGTGGTATTTTTATTTGTGTGCTTAGGGTTTGACGTTTTAATAGGGTGAGCGGGAGGGTTTAAAACTTGGGCTACTTTGTATATTGCAGGCTGCTGCATGGATTGCCAAATGTTACACTGGGTGGGAGACTGGGGGGGAATTAAAATTAGAGTGAAACATGGTGCTACCCAGATTTAAAAAGAAAAAAAAATATATGTGTATATATATATATCCATTTGCAAATGTCTTGGTGATGTTTCAAGAACTGTGAGTGGAAAATAATGGCTTAAACACTGGAATTCACTATAGATGGGGTTTGCTAGCATCTCATTGATCATACCTCAACCCTTAATGATTATTTGATCAATTTTATGTTCAGCTAATGGGTTGATTGCCAGCAGTTTCTTTCTTTTCTAAACTCATCTTCTATTAAGAAGTTCTAAAGCTCAGTTTTGAGCTGTGAACTGAGTGAAATGTTGAAGTGTGATATCCTTATCACCAGTTCATCTTGGTGCTTAGAATGGTCAGTCTGTTTGGTGAGTGCCCTTCATGGCAGTGGAAAATAGTAATTGCGGTTTCTGACTCAAGTGGCCTTGGTAGAGTTTTCCATCCCTTTTCTTTCCTCAGGAATTTCTTTTTTAAGCAAGATTCATCATATTTGTGTCTACCGTGTAGAGTTAGGAGTGGGGCATAGCATATAGATGTATTTATTGTGGCCTTTTATAGAGGACTAGCCCTTGGAAATCATTGTCCTGTGGGCCCCACTGTGCAGTAATCCGACTGGATAGGTTTTAGATCATTCTTTCCTGGAAAACTATTCTCTTAGGTACCTAGCAGAAATCTAAAATCTTGGTTCTATTGAAAAGAATTTTGAGAATGATAATTCTGGATTACTCTTCTAGATTACAGTTAGCAATGTGTTTGAAACAGAAGCTTTGAAAGGATGAGTTGTGAACTTAGTGTTAAATAGGTTTGTCTAAAATCTGATTATTTGATAACTTGTTCTTTCCATCAAAATTCAAGTCATTGAACATAATCAAAATGAAGACTCATATCTCAGGAGTTTTTGAAATTTTAATTTGGGGGCACTGAGAGACTTGTCTCTTCTACCCTATCCCAACTCTGCTTTCTCTTTGCTATGATGTTTGTATGTATTATAAGACTAGTGATATGATGGAAAGTCACACAGATTCATCATGATCCTTTCTGAAGTTAGGAAATAGTTGACAGAAGGAATTGTCGTTTACTGTTTTCAAGAGGGTGCTCAGAAGGACAGGTTAGCCAGATTGTCTTTAAAATGTCCTTTTAGACAATCACATGTTGTAGATTTTGTTTGCCCTACACCAAAGATCTAAGATGCACTAGGAAACTGTTGTAGGATTTCTGTCAACTGACGCTTAAGAGCTATGATTGTAACTAAGTGGTTGGTGCTGTGATTGAAGCAAAATCTAGTAGCAGTGCAGTGGGACTCTGTTTGCTTTATGGGGGATGGTTTGAGAATTTACTCTAAACTTACAGATCTTTGGGGCCTTGGGCTGGGGTGGGTGTGGTATGGGGGAACTTAACAATGACACTAGACTCCTCCAAAAAGGCCCTCTGTGTGATGATGGCTCGCAGTGTTCTGTGTGAGCAGAACAAAATTTGGGGCACTGCTCAGAGGCATGGCCACTGAGTTTTAACAGTGTGGAGATTTGGGAAACAGTCTCAAGTGAATATAGAATATCAGCCTAGAAAAGTTTTCATTTTAATAGCTTTTTATGTATGTATATTTATTTTTGAAGAGAAAATTGAATAGGTCTATAGTTTTGCTGGTATTCTTGTTAGGAGTACTTTGAATGACTTTAACTCATTCGCCAAATATCCTTGTCAATTTTTGTCATTTTTTTCAACATATAATTATTTTTGAATTTTAAAATCTTATTTCCTATCCATCATTTCTATGAAAATGAAGTTGTTGACATTGTTAGGATTTTTTAATTAATCTTAAATTCAGCAGTTATAGAACAGAAAGGGTATTATGGAACGTAACGCTGGTGAACCTTCATTGTCAATTTTATTCAATGTTTAACACGTTAAGAATTCTAGAAGTGCAGAAATTATAGATTAACTTCTAAGAATAAGATCAAATCATTGTAAACTCATCTGGTTGGCAACAGAACTTGTAGTAGCCAGTCATACCAGTAATGGATGGCTTTATTGGACAGCTCCTTTGACATAATAATGGACAGCTCTGTGGTCAGAGCTTACCTCCAAGGGTGGTCTGTTTGCTCACCAAAGAGAAGAGGGGATTCTCCTGTATAAATTCTACAGTTTCCCTCAAGTTGGTTCTAGTATACCAGGATGTGCTCGGTAACTATAGACAGGTATGCCTAGGCTATAGATTTTGCCCATTGAAGCTAGTAAGAATTATTTATTTCCTGTTGTACCTGTGGGGCAGTTCTACTCTGTCCTGTAGAGTCGCTATGAGTCAGAATCGACTCGATAGCAACGGGTTTGGTTTTAGCTTTTGGTATTGTACCTGTTCTAGGCCTCCAGACATCATCAGCCAGTAGCCTTTCATTCCTATAGTTTGGGCTTTAGCCATTAACATAAAGATAACCAGTTGCTTAACAAAGGAAACTGGATAGGAGCACCATATATGTGAAAGGGAGACACAACCCCACAACCTCTTGCAAGAGGGTTGCATAGAAGTGGATATATGAAACTGTATCCTTGCTTTTATGATAACCAATTAGTCTGCCTATTCTTCCCTTACCACAGCTTTCTATCTAATGAAAGCTATAAAAATTTAGTTTAACTTTTCAGCTCATGTGTTTTATATATATATGTACGTGAACTATTCTGTACATAGGGTGATTGGCAAGTATTCTACAAGTAATTTTACATAGATTAAAATGTGACCAATTTTTATATCAACAGATAACATTTTTCAGTTATGGTGGCTTGTATCCCACCATGTATATAAGAACAGCCTTGCAAAAAACTCCAGGAAAATTGAAGTGAATTCTGACTTCCTTTTCCTATCTGTTGCCACCTTTGCCACCTACAGTGAGGTTAAGCAGGAATAATTGAACTGCTACATATTTGAAACTTGTAATCGTTGGTAACCAGGTTATGCATTCTTCTATTCTCTAGCACAAATACCAAAAAGCCAAACTTCCCCTTTGAATGTTAGTGACTTAGCGTAGTCTGTGGCTGAGTTTTCCTTCCCAAAAGATGAACATCACCTTTCATTTAGCAGTTATATAAAATAAAAATAATGCTCTTAAGTAGCTGGAAATGTGAAATCATGGCTTAGTTTTATACTTTAGTGGTCCCTCGGTAGGTGTTACTAGGAGTTTGTTCAATAAAGGATTTAGGTGTGAACCTTTGATGTACTTGATTTTCTTTTGTGCCTTAGTTTCTCCGAATAGCAGAGGCATCAAATTTTAGTGGGTGATCCTAAGACTCACCTGTATTAAGCTGATTCAGAATTATACTACACCAAATCATTAGATTTCCCCAGATAGAAGGATTATAATCTGGATTTATGCATCAGGCATACAGAAAAGGAGCTCTAGATGTTTATTATGTTTTGTGTTGTACTATCAGTGTTGTAAAGATTAAGGGAGAGAAAAAGGTCGAGAAAATCTTACTTGCGCAGAAAACTGGTACTCTCTTGAATGCTATGCAGTATGAGTCTTTGAACAAGAGTTCATTGATACTTCTTTGAATCATCAAACATATATTGAGTGCCTATGTGCCAGGCACTGGTGAACACCAGGGATACAGGTGTGACTAAAACAGATTGAAATCCTGCTTTCGTGAAGCTTTCAGTCTAATAGGGAGACATGAAACAAATGTTAGCTTCAAGAGCCAATAATGGACAAGGACAAGATCTGTTTCGGCCTATTAGTGTGTTTTTAGTTTAAAAGTCATCCTAGAATGATTTGGTTTAAATTCAGAGCAGATTGGGAAAATCAGGCTTAAATTGGCATCAGAAAACCAGCAACAACAAAAAATGTTCTAACATTTGGTAGAAATACCTGAAGAAATCAAGTATTCAGAAATACATTGACGGTGCTGGGGGGTAAATGGGCAGAATGGGAGAAGTGCAACAAGTAAATGGCAAATGACCCTAAGTACATGTCAGTGTGACTGTCAACCTTTCCTTCCATCAGGAGCTCCTTCCATGCAGGGTGGAGATAGGGATGTGCTGCAGCATCCTCCCCTCGCACCATTTGAGAGCATAGCTGCTCTGGAGTAATGACATCTGGGCTAACAGAACTTAGCAAGATTCTGCAGGATGTGCTGTTTTAAAGCAGCTGAGTGCAAAATAGAAAATGGGAGTCTAGAACAGAAAATCTAGCAAGCAGTGAATGGCTTTGGGACAGAATGATGGGCAGAATTGATTTACAAGAGGATTTAAGGCGCCATGAATTTTTCTACAGGACAGCTGCCATCAAAGGGACATCCTCTCACCCGTTATTTAAAATGTCGTATGTTATTATCCTGAGGCATACAGGTAGAATATCTGGATCTTAACTACTAGTGACTTCAGAGGTTTACAGTTAGAAAGCTTCTGAAAGGTTTATCCATTTTGTATTGGTGATTGCTAATGTAGACCCTCTGGGAGCTGTAAAAGGTAAGAGGATACAGCTGATTAATTTCAGGGCACCATCTTGTATGAAATCTGCAAAGAGAAAATGATTCAAAGGCATAGGGTTTAGAGAATTTCTTTTACCTAAAAAAGTTAAGCAACTATAGAAGACTTGGGATGGGGGTGTGGAATGCAAATTTGGAATAATTAAAGAACTATATTTCTTTAAATACATACTTTAAGAAGGTTTTTATTAGCTAATTTGGGGAAGGGGTACCCTGGGGTATGTTTTCCTAGGAAAATGCATCTCTGATGGGAAATTATTTTGTTTACAAGACTGTTTTACCTGCAACCTTGAACAAACGTATCTGTGGCCTGAAGAAAGGTAGACCTGTGTTAATTTCCTCTCAGAGGCAGTCAGATCCATTTGTCTGGATTCCTTCTGTCTGAGATTACCCGATGCTGACCAGACTTCTTTTTCCTTCCCTGAAGACGTAAAGGTTTCTGAGCTTGTGCTACCTACCCATCCAGACTTTCCCATTTGAATGATTAGATTTCTATTCTGTACTCCACTGATCATCCGCTTGAAATAGCTGGGTGATATCCTCAGAGCAGTTTGACATACTGATTGAATTTGCGTTTTTCACTATGCATCTAGGATGAAAATTGATTTGCTTGTTTTTATTCAAACTCTCCTCCTCTTGAAAGCTTTGTTTACCAGTTTTGTAGCCATATTTGGCAAATTTTAATTAATAGAAACCCCTCTGTCCTTTTCCCCCTTATTCTTGCAATTGCTCATTTAGGGCAAGATTTTCTGGCTTTTCTTCAAGCTTTGAGACTACTGCATCTTAGAAGAAGAACTAGGCTGATTGGCAAAATAGACTTGCCAGTGGCTCAGTCACTTCCAAAACACTTTAGTTTTGAGAGTTCGGGAAACTCTGAGAACTTACGAGAACCAAACTCAGGAATCCCAAAGTTGGTTGCATTGTGCCATTGGTTTAGGGGCTGAACATAGGACCTGTCTGCAGCTGAGTGAATTAGATGCATTTGGGTTTGAGTTTTTGTCAAATACTGAAATGTAAGTCAGCCCTAAATAATCAAAACACTTTATTTTCTTTTTTTAATAGGAACTTTATGAAGAAAAAGTGATATGTCAAACATTTGATATTTAAGACAATAAAGTTTTTATCATACGACTTTTGTTTGATCAATTTCTTTTAAATCGAGGTGATTGATTGCTTTTGTCTCTACCTCCCTGCCCCTTTAAATAACTTACAACCAGGCACTGTAACTTGTGGACATGTGCCTGAACCCCAGAAAAAATGGGCGTCTTGGTGCCATTAAAGTAACTTCTACATAATCATTGTAGGAGGAAAGGTAGCTGCTGCATTTTTTAACTTTCATAAGTGGTTGATGCACAGTAATAGAAATAACACTGGCAATAGAGTATAGTGGTTAAAGCTATACTCTCTAGAGCCAGACTGAGTTTGAATTCAGCTTTGTCCCTTATTAGCTGTGTGACTTTGGGTAAATTGCGTTTCTGTGCCTCAGTTTCCTCATCTCTAAAATGGGAAGTATCATAGGATGGTTATAGGGATTAAATGAGTTAATACATGTAAGGTGCTTAGAATAGTGCCTGACACATAGTAACTACTAATTAGACACTAGCTGGTGTTACTCATTGTTATCACTTAAGGGATTTGAGAATGCTAGATGGAATTTCCAAAGGTTGGATCACTCATCTAACAGTTTGATATGGCGGGAGGACTCTGCCCCACGTAGTCAGTCATTCAGGGGCTTAGGCTACCACAGCTCTGCCCTTTTCAGTATGTGGCTTCCGAGATTACCTTGGACATCACATCCACTTGGCATACCAGGGAATGGAAGTGCTGTACATCACCTCTGTCCACATTTCATTGGCTGGAACTTGGACATAAGGCCATACCAGATTGTAAGAAAGGCTGTGAAATATAATTGACTTAAAAAAAAAAAAATCAACTTGTGTGCCCAGGAAGAATAGGAGTAATTTGGTCAGCCAACAGTTGCTCAATTTCACCTCACACAGGCCATAACACACCCTTTCCCCAAAGGAGATATCCCCAGATCCCACCCAGATACCCCATTGACCTAAAGTTCAGAATCCCCTGGGATGCCCAGGCATCTCCTTCGGGCTCTGTGTGGTCTGGCAAACTCTGAACTAAATGATGTTATCTGCTCCTACCCTGTATACAGTGAAGAAGCAGGAGCAGAATAACTACAATAAAAACTCACATTTGGAAAAGGGAAGAACAGAAAGTGTGGCAGGCACTGGCCCCACCAATTAGAAAATTGTGGACAGGCATTGTGAAGGAGTTGGGGGAGTTCCTTTATTAGATTCTGAGTATGTGCTCTGGAAGGAACTCCTTTGTCCACTGTTCTCTACAACGGCACCTGAAGTAGATGTTGAGTCTGCCCTCGGGAATTGCACAGCTTTCCTAGCTCACTACTGGTACAAGTCTGGGGACCTGAGGGTTTTATAAAGGCTTGGAAAAGAGTCTAGATGTGTGGTTTCTTTGGCAAAACAGTTACTTAGTAACAGGAGACTTCTGCTTCCAGTCTGTTCTGAATGCCAGAAACCACAACCAGAGTTTTTTCCTATACATAATTCTCAAGCCTGATTTGTTTCTCTGCTTTCTCACTTCTGTTCTGCTCTCAATGGCGTCTACCTTGAATTCATCTGAAACAGGTTTGAGTGGGAAAACCTTTAATACGATTTTTGCAACAGGGCTGAGTCTTACTACTGTGCCTTGGTATTCAAAGCTTATTTCAAATTTAGCTCTTACTATCTGGGGTCTAGAAGGAGGAAACCCACTTCAGGGCCCCAGGATTCATGGCTCTGTTTTCATTTCTGCTTACAACCAGCCAATTCTTTCTTTAGCTTAGCTCTTCTGATGCTTGTAAAAGTCAACACACTAACATGACTTTTCAACCTTTCCTTTTAGACTAGGATTCAAGGCTCCTGTGAAGATCTACAGGCTTTATAGTTAATGTAGTCAACTATCCAATCTGTCAGAGGAAACAGTTGTACAAATATTTTGCCCCCCTGAATAACATGGGGAGTTCTGGTGGCATAATGGTTGAGTTATGGTTGTTAACCAAGGGTCAGCAGTTCAAATCCACCAGCCGATCATTGGAAACCCTATGGGGCAGTTCTACTCTGTCCTGTAGGATCGCTATGAGTCCGAATCAACTCGACGGCAACAGGTTTGGTTTGGTTGGTTTTTGAATAACATGGGCCTCTATTTTTCCAGCCTCCAATATCATTTCCTTCTTGACCACCAAGCCCATGTCATATTTTAGGTTTTTGTGATGGCAACATTCCATTTCAGTAACCAATTCCTGTATTAGTTAAGATAGACTAACTGCTGTAACAACAACAAAAAAAATATTGCCATTGAGTCAATTCTGACTCAGAGTGACCCGATGTGACAGAGTAGAACTGCCCCCATAGGGTTTCCTAGGCTGTAATCTTTAGGGAAGCATACTGCCGCATCTTTCTCCCACAGAGCGCACACACCAACCTTTCAGTTAGCAGCTGAGCACTTAACCACTGCGCCACCAGCGCTTGCTGTAGCAAACCCACCCCAAATATCAGTAGCTTAACACAATATAACCTTATTTCTTCTTCACTAATAGTCCAGTGTGGGTCAGGTCAGTGGAAATAGGGTGAAGTGGAAGGCTCTCCTCCATGCTGTCATCGTGGGGACCCAGATTTCCAGCAGCTCTGCCATTTTCACATGGCTTCTAAAGTTGCCCTGGCCTTCAACACTCAGTTGGAAGCTGATGGAAGAGAGAATCAAGATCAAGGGGTTTTTATGGGACAGACCTGGATATGGTACACATCACTTCTCACACAAAATCACGGATACCTGGCCATGCCTAGCTGAAGCAGAGGCACGGAAAAGTAGACTATGTCCAATAAGAAGAGGAGAAGAGCTAACCCAGTTTTTGCCTCGAAGAATATACATTTCCTAATGTCTGGGCTCAGGATGCTAACCAAAAGGTTGGCAGATCGAATCCACCAACCACTCTTTGGAAACCCTATGGTGAAGCTCTACTCTGTCCTATAGGGTCGCTATGAGTGGGAATCGACTTGATGACAAGGTGTTTGGGTTTTTTTAATGTCTGGGTAGAGAGCAGAATTTGTCTTGACTCCCAGTTAGTCACAAATTGAGACCCATAATTCTGAACTGTTAAGAGTTGATTTCCTATTGTTGAGTTTCAGGACAACTTCTTTCCTATCCTAAAGCTTCCAAATGGTGTGTGTGTGTTTTGTTAAAAGTGATTTAAAAGTAACCGTTTTGATACTCTTAAGTAACTTAGAAACACCCTGGGGTGTAAAATAACCAGTGTAGAGTCATTGCTTTGTGTATGAATTTGTGCAGTGGGGCCTTTATTTGAGAGGATTTTGGTATACATGGACCAGCTGGTATATGCAGGGAGTCATCTAGACAAATACCCCTTTGTTCTGTCACCCTTCTCTGCCTATCAGAGAGTATGATGAGAGCAAACACTGTTTCTAGTTGGAGGTAAGAAGTAATTATTGTCATTGTTCAGAACTCCATCTTGATAGCCAATTTAATTTGAAATGAGATTTCTCATGCTCAGTGGGAAGATTTCTGATTTATAGTGGTAGAAATTGTGAGATTATTAGTGGAAATAATTAGGGGTGCTTGGCATAGAGGGAGGGAATTCACTGCATCTTTATATAAAAAAGACTTCAAAAATATCAGGACAGAAAATGCACCGGGAGGCTTATGACAGGAGTTTCTACAGCTCGGGGAGGAAATGTAAGAAAAAGGTAGGATATACATTTAAAATAGGAATACAAAAAATAGAAAAAAAAAGTTCAAAAGAGAACATAGTTCTAAATCTCTGACCATATTGCCATCTTACATAAAAGGGCTAAAATGTCACCTGATACTGCTTCCCTGTTCAGAGTTATCAAGTATAAAATGGGATTAATCAACTACCAAAACTTTTCTATAGATTTTGTCCTAAAAAAAAATGTAAGAGCTAGTGTAGCTTGGTTCCTCCTAGAAAGTTACTCAGATCCAGTGCTTTCCCTATCCAAAGAGACCTGAAATCGAAGTGACCTGAGCTGGAAATACTCCACCACCCCCAACCTGCTCCTCTCACAGTCTTCCCCTGAGAAGTAAATGGCAACTTTGTCCTTCCAGTTTCTTGGGCCTAAAGCCTTGACCCCTTTCTTTCATACCCTGCATCCAACCCATCCTAAATCTTCTTGGCTCCACTTCAAAATATATTAAAAATGTGATTATTTCTAGACCTTGCCCCTCACCTCTCGACTGGCTTATTGCAACAGGTTGTCCTGCTCCTGCCTTTGTCCACCTACGTTCTGTTCTTTGCACAAAGGCCAGCATAATTCTGTTAAATCAGATCATGCCTCTCCTCAGAACCCTTCAACGGGTCCTCATGTCACTCAGAGTGAAAGCCAAAGTCCTTACAATGCCTCCAGGGCATTGCAAGCTTTTAAGACCCCAAGTACTACTTACCAAACTAGGAGGTAGAACAGAAACTCTAAAGAAAATATTAGGCCAGTTGACTAGATAGACCCAAGAAACCATGACCCTAAACCTTGGAAAACGACTCCCTTGAGGACTGGTTGTACCTAAGTAGCATCAACAGCTGCTGCTGTTGTTGTAAAATAATATATAACACTATATTTGCCATTTCGCAACTTAGTGATATCAGTTACATTAGTTAAGCTGTGTAACCATTACCCTTAGGCGATGCCAATTTTCCCCTCACCATAGACAAAAATTCATTACTTCCCAAAGAATGATTCTCCCTCCCCTTTCCCCCTCCTGCTCTTGTAACTACTAGTAACCATTGGTCTCTATTTACCTGCCCTAGTCATTTCATATAAGTGAGGCCATACAATATTTGTCCTTTGGTGACTGACTTATTTCACTCAGCATAGTGTCTTCGAGGTTCATCCATGTTGTAGCATGTTGTCTACATGTTGTCTCTTTGCTACAGGACTTCATTTTTTTTAAGGCTGAGTAGTATTCCGTTGTATGTATGTACCATATTTTATTCATTCTTCTGTTGATGGGCATTTGGGTTGTTTCCACCTTTCTGCTATTGTGAATAGTGCTGCGGTGAACATCGGTGTACATATGTTTGTTCATGTCACTACTTTAAGTCCCTAGGTATACACCTAGGAGTGGAATTGCTG